CCCCCCCCCCATGTGTCCGCACACAGGCCCAGCTGAAGTTCCAGCAGTGCATTGCCTCCCAGCACGAGTGGAAGCAGATTCACCACGTGTGTTACTGGGAGCTGATGTGGGCCCACTGCTTCCAGCAGGAGTGGCTGCAGGCCTACCGCTACGCTGAGCTGCTCTGGAGGGAGAGCCGCTGGTCCAAGGTGGGCCGCCCCCTCAGCTCCTGCCTCTCACACTCGCCTACCCAGAATGTGACTGAGAGCCGGCATGTGGACATGTCACCTGCGCTGTGCATGTCGCGCTGTGGTCAGGAACGTCTCTGTTGTCCCCCCCCCACCCCAGAATGCTTCTAACGCTAAATAAATAGCTAGTGACTAGAGTCTGAATATAGTGACTAGCAAGCCAGTTAGCAGAACATGCTGCTTCAGCATTTCCTAAATAAAAAGCTCCTGCAGCTCATTTCTCTAACAGTGCAAAGATTGTGGCTTCAGATCCCTTCCCTCTACTGTACATGGCTTTGGTTAAGAGTGTCAGGTAAATAAGTTACTGTAATAAGGGACCCCTTTATTTAATATTTAGTGTAGTGACTGTTTGTGGCCAACAGGGGGCGGTGGCTGTGATTATGTGCTCTTTCCTGGACAGGCCATCTACATGTACCAGAAGGCTGCCATCCTCAGCATGATGCCCGAGGAGGACGTGAAGACGACCGGCGAGAACGTGGTGGAGCTCTTCAGGTAGGCCGCGCCTGCCTCGAACCCGCTGCTCAGTTCTGTTAATATAGCACCCGTTCCAGCAGAGCTGCCTGTCCCAGGATGCTTAGTGACAGGAAGGCTGGCAGAGGCAGACACAGCCGTAAATAGGGTGGGGCGGGACCCCCCTGGTAGGGCACGTCACCCTCCCCGGCACGCGGGCCTTTCGGCGTGACAGACAGCCATACAGCCGAACACTTTGGTGTCACTGCAGGCAGGTGGAGGGACTTAAGCAGCGCCTGGCCGGCAAGTCCATCCCAACGGAGAAGTTTGCCGTGAGGAAGTCACGCCGCTACTCCTGCTCCACACCCGTGAAGTTGGTGGTGCCGGCGCTGGTGAGCCTTGTTTCGGGGGTCAGAGTGCTGTCGTGGATTCCCACCTCCACGCTCCCTAAAGCCAGCGGCCGGGGGCATTTAGAAACGGAGCGCTGCTGGGGGCTAGGGAACGTGGAGTGTGACCCCAGAAAGATCATCAAAAGCCCAAACCACGGAGCAGGGCGAGTAGACGGGGCTGCGGGGGGGACCTGTTTAGTCCTGACCATAGGGGCCATCTCGCCCTGACAGGAAATGATGTATGTGTGGAACGGCTTCACTATCGTCGGCAAGAGAGCTGATGTCACAGAGGGCCTGCTGATCACGATCGAGAAGGCAGAGGAGCAGCTCAGTAACGACCCCAGTGAGTGTGCCGGGTCCGGGGGGGGGGCGCTCCTGGCAGGCAGGTACAGCACCCCCAGAATTTATGCTGCGTTCCATTTGAACTCGGAAGTCAGAATGTCTGAGTTCCCAAGTCGGAGGGCCCCATACTGTTTATAAGCACTTACAGCATATTTGTGGCTCATTAAATCAGTCATACACACAGTACTGTCCAACTGCTACCTGTGGATATGCTACGATGGTGTTTGTCTGCTCAAAATGCCATATAATGTGTTAACAACTGGTATTGCTAACAATGGCTAACAGTGGACCTGGCTGGAGCTGGGGCCCGTTTCATTAAGCAGGATTTCTTGCTTCCTGTCATGTCACATTTTAGGTAATCTGGGCTAAATGTAAAATGACGATAGAGGCCATTTAAACTGGGGTACCTTAAATCTGGAATTTCTGAATGGCACATGGTTAACTTGGACATGACGTCATTCCCGGCTCTGACCTCTAAAGTCAATGTAACGCAGTGTTAATCAGACACCCACAAACTGCCTTCTCCTCCTGAACACGCCGGCGGCTCATGGGCTCCCTCTCGCACACAGGGCCCTCTGAGTACCACCCCGATGACCAGTGCCTTGTCCAGATGTTGAAGGGCCTCTGTCTAAAACATCTGGGCCGTCTTCTGCAAGCGGAGCTGTGCTTCACCCAAGTCCTCTCCATGTAGGTGATACCCCCCTGCTGAACAATTAGGTCAATTGCCTCATGGGAATCCATTTGGCGTTCCTGTAGTTCCGTGAAAAATAATCCTTCTGAAATATTGCATTCCATCTTTCCACAGTGAGAAAAGGATAAGATATGACCATTACTTGGTGCCATACACGCTGTATGAGCTGGGACTGCTGTATAAACAGCAAGGAGACGTTGCCAAGGCAATACGTTACATAGAGAACGCAAAGTAAGTGCCCTCTGCTGGCCAGGCTGTGTCATAGCATTATAGACAGACATTTCTGTTAAAGCAGGGCTCTTCAAGCGAATGACTCGTGCATTTACGACTGCTTCTGGCCTGTAAGCTAGTTTTCCTGTAATAACTGAATGGTTTAATTTTTGGATATGCTAATATATTCAAACAGCCAGCATATATATATATATCTGGCAGCCTCTTGTTCTAACGGCTGCTCAGAATGCTTCATGCTTTCCTAACGAACCTGCTTTTCTCACGCTTTCCTAACGAACCTGTGCCCTCGTTACAGGCTGAACTACAAGGACTACTCCATGGAGTCACGCTTACACTTCCGGATACATGCTGCTCTCAGTAATCTGAAGGGGTCGCCGGTCAACACCCCTTAACCAGAATTAACCGGGGGACCTCTGTGTTTTGGGACTTAACACCCCATGTATTCCAGTTAGTTTCTCAAAACGTGGACACAGTAATGAGTTATTTTTTTTGTTGTAATTTTTCTGAGAATAAAGGTAAGTTATACATAATGCAAATGATGTTTAGAATAGATGAGTATTCAACATGCATGTACTGTTTTTGCCACAGAACATGCATCATACATTAGCCTTGCTTATTTACCCTATGACGATAAGAAACCTTTATGTGGAGTACGGAAAGAAAGATGGAGAATCAAAGTGGCAGCTAGAAGCTGTGCTGAGTGAGCTAGCACACATATACTATAATACAGTGTGCAGGCTCACAGTGGGGCATTTGGCACTACTGGTCTTTATTCGCTGACCAGTTTCAAAGACTGCGTTTGTTTATTGGTCCAAAGAGAAGGTGCCCAATTCTGGTTGGTCTTTACTCCTCACGCAGCGTGCCGATTGGTACTTGATGAGGGAATTCCTCTGTGGGGTTCAGCCCACAGGTGGAGGCTTCAGAGCAGAACCTGGAGGTAGTGTGTGATTCTGGTGGCGTCTGTGAGCGTGTGCGTAGAGAACCTGCAGAAACCTGCCAATGAGGCCGGTACTTAACTCTCCTCCAGAAAACCAAAGAACAGCTGCATCAAACACAAAGCTTATCTAGTCTGTTTAGTGTGAGTCACATTGAACTTTTGGAATATAGAAATATAGTATAATATAATATATAATGGTTATTATTCTACCTGCTTCTTTGTTTCACAGTCCAAACACATGCATTGCTGTAGACTTTGTGTACACAAAACATGAACATGAGTTCATTTAAAATCGCAAAACCTCGGGCTTCATGCCTTCATTTACTTGAGCTAGTTATGTCCTGTCCCATCTCTCTAACTTGTATATTCTATTTTATGAGAACAGCAGACTTAGCTAGATGCTAAACCTGAGTGTGACGTTCATAGCAGGCTACATGAATGTAATTTGTACTGTATAAATGTGTTTCTCACTGTGTGTGGAACATATGTTTTTAATTATCGGTGTATATTTTGAGAATATTTCGGAAGAACATTAGAATACAGAGTTTCCAGATCTGACGGATGTTTATGTATTCTCCGAATTGTCCTAGAGTGGGTCTCGCCATCTTGTAAATTCCACTTCTGGGGGTAGTAGCACATATTTATAAATGTTCAGTGAGTTCAGTTGTTTCTCATCATTTAGGAATTTGTTTCCTGAAATGTTGGTCACATGGTGTTTGTCATCTGGGCAGATGTAAATGTAAAAAATTCTATTAAAAATACATATACTGTCTGGACAAAACATGAAATTTCTTGAAAAAAATATCTAAACCTAAAAGGGAGAAATGAACTATTGACAATTGTAATAGTATTTGAAATTGTGTATACCATAATTGTAAGCCATAAATCGCTGCCTGTTTGCATCATTAGAAATTTTGTAAATGTTCATTATATAAATGGTTGATTGTACTCTATATTCCCTTTAAAGTAAGTGCAGATGGTGTAACGCTCACTTCAGATCTTCTGTGGGTGTAGTAGGACGTCAAGGCCCTGATACAAGCCTCCACAGAGCAGTCTGTCTTCAGATGAAGTTTGCCACGTGTTCATATAGCCGTAGACGGGCTGAGGAAGGCTTTTGTCAGGAGAGGTCAGGGCAGCTGGATGTCGGTGCCTTTTTGGGGCAGCTGTTCACTCATTGTCTATTTTCATTAGTTTTGGTAAAAAATGAGCACAATTCTGAGTGTCTATTGCGGTTCTGCTTATGCTCAGTGGGAGATCTGTGTGTGCATCCCAAAATGACATGACCTTTACTGCACTAACAGTGTAACTTTCTGAAATGTCATCATGATGCACATATGAATTTATATCGCTTACATCAGTTTATAGTGTTTCATTTTTAATTAAACAGTATGGTACACAGAAATGGTGTCAGATAGATACTGTACTTTTAAGCTGAAATGGGGATGGTTCATTCCTGTAAATGTGGGACTGCACTTTGTAGGATTGTTAACCAAAGACTGACTTTCAGGCATAGCAATGGAAAGATGCTGATTCTGAAAACTGATTTTGACAATCACTTCATTACACCTGCCACACCAAGATTCCTCTCACTTTGATTATTGTGTCTTTGGTTCACCTGTCTACCTTTGTCATGCCAGCAGATATTAACCTCTCGTTAAGGTCTTGAGAGACTGATCCAGTCCCAAAAATCAGTGCCTGGTGTCTGAATCGCACATTGATGTGTAAAAGTCCTCAGTTGTCTGTCTGTCTCACCTGCTGTGCAGTGTAACACCTTCAGGGTACCAAACGGTTAATAAAGCCATGGGTTTGAGTAACTATACTCAAGGTCTCCATTTCTGTTTGTCTCTGCTGTTTGACTCCAAAGTGTAGTTGGTGGCCCAGCCCTGGAAGATTGTCAGCGTTCCTAAAGAAACAGAAGGTAAAGCTGGAAATGAAGCCAGGTGTGGCTGGCTGGCTTTCAGTCAGGCTCTGTTCAGCAGTTTATGTTTTATGTGTGTTGGTATTTCTCCCAACCAGCCACATAACTGGTATACAGAAGACATCACATCTGGGGGGCTTTACAACAAGCCTGACAGACTTTAGCTTTTTATGCTGATGCACTTTGTATAATCCAGTGTGTCAGAGTATCTTAAAACAAAAAAGCCTTTATGGATTTCATAGAATAGAAATATGTCAGTCGAGATGAATCCGAAATGTAGGCGTTGTGAAAACATTTAAAGTAATCTGTGAATTAAGTTACACATACATTTAGGTACTTAAGTATTTTTACATGGCTTTTCGCCGATTCGCATATGTTTATGAATTGCTTAAATACACTGCATGTTAAAGACACACCATCGGCATTAAATTTAAAGTTAATGCAAAATATTCGACGCGACGACGCTGAGCTCCGGCGCAGGACGGAAAGCGGCGCTTACGAAACTGCAGGGAGCGGTCAGCTGAGCCGGGCGACCGGGGGGCGAGGAGCCGCGGAGTCGCGATGGAAGGCAACCGCGACGAAGCAGACAGGTGCATCGGCATCGCCCTCAGGGCTATAGAAACAGGGGACAAGGAGACGGCGGTCAGGTTCCTCACCAAGGCGGAGAAGCTATATCCTACGGATAAGGCGAAAGGTTAGTTGGGGCGAAGGCGTAAACTGGAAGTGGGTTAGCCGTGCAGCTAGTAGGTAACCTGGGGTTAGCTGTGCAACCTATGGGCTAGTGCGTTAGCCGGAGTTAGCCGAGCAGCTAGTGGGTTAGCCGTGCAACTAGTGGGTAATCTGGGGTTAGCCGAGCAGCTAGCAGGCTAAGGGGTTAGCCGTGCAACTAGTGGGTTAGTAGCGGATAGTCGAGCAGCTAGCGGGTTAGCAGAGGATAGCTCGGCAGCTGGCAGGCTAACGGGTTAGCCGTGTAGCTAACGGTCTAGTGAGTTAGCCGGGGTTAGCCTTCCAGCTAATGGGCTAGATGGAAAACCTCAGGTTTCCCACATTTTTATCATTATTCATAGAGGTGATGGTGTACGGATTACACTGTGTGGAGATCGGCACTGCGAGTGATTAAACGGCAGAAGCGGCAGCTCAGCGCGCCGGGGACCGGAGTGCCGGCTTGTTAGCGGCCTTTGCTAACGGGACCCCCTGGGTCGGTAGCTGTACCCCTCAGTGTTTCTGACAGATGTCACGGGCTATGGATAGCTAGTTAACTAAGGGGTCATCGCGGCAAGCCGAGCCGCTCGAATTAAAGACCAGCGGCCAGCGTTTATGGTAAAAATGCAGAGAAATATTTTTCCAAAGGATACCAGACCTTCAGGTCTTTTAGACGACGAGTTACCTGTTTAACGATACCCTGCCAGTTAAGGGGCTAGAAACACCCGGGCCTCTGACTCAGTGGAACGACTGTCATTGCTGTGTGGATCCAGCTGTAAAACGTACACCTTTCACTCTTATACCACTGAAAAACAACTTCAACATCACACAGCTACCTCTCTGTGCTGTACCGTCCATATCATGTAATACATGTCTGTGTTTCTCCTCTGCCACTCCCTGCATTGTCCCCCTGCCTGTCCTGTCCCCATCTGTCCCACCCTCACCACTCTCCCTGTTGCCCCCCCCCCCCCCCCCCCCCCCC